TACAACTCCCTTAATCCTTCTGTATACTTTGTACATGTTCTATTGGATACTAAATAAGTCAAAATAAATAAATAAATGTTTTCCTCTGTGAATCCGTCCACAGTCACTCCGTTTTCTGTCCGTCCGTCCGTCTACATGTCATTCCGTACAAAGTTGCGCTGTTTTCTCTCTTCGTCATAGAGCACGTAGACCGTCCTCTCAATCAGTCGATTTTTCGCAAAGCGCCGCGTGCGTAACATACTTCAAGATCTCTTGATATTTAAATAAATATGTAAATGTCGGATGTCCCCGTGATATCAGGTGTGTAGCTTGAGGTCGGTAAGTCTATGTGCAGCACTCTGACACAGCTGTACGTAACTGTCGCCACCGTTTAGGCATTCCCACAGCCTGAAGAGTCTTTACAGCGTGTGTTCCGTTGCCCACGAATTGCGTTGAACTGTATTATTAAACGATAATGTCAATGCCTTATATTTTATATACCAGTATATAGTTTAATAGGAAGGAGTAATGAAAAAGACTGTGCCACCGCTGGGGTTCGAACCAGCGACCCTTCGATCTGTAGCCAGACATATTACCACTCCACTAAGGGAAATTCACACTAGCTGAGGATAGTAAAGCTACGTGTACTCCTAACTTCTACACTACTGTACAAAGTCTTCGACCTCAAAGACAACAACAACCTGGTTCGATATCTGCAAGGAAGCATCTCAATCTCCTATAGCTTCTACCTTTAGAGTGATCAACGGCACCAAATCTGTAACAGGTTCAGTCTCTAGCCGGACATTCTACCGCTTCACTAAAGGGGAACTTTTTAGACCCCTAAAAGACAATTCCGTTGATTTAACATTCTTCATCACTTACAATTATTCAGATTCCTGAAAGACGATTCCGTCGCTCTACATTCTTAGTCATTAACAACCATTCGAACCACTCAATTTACGATTCCTTGTCATTAACAATATTCAGTCTCCTTCACAACAATTCCGTCAATTTACGATTCCTTGTCATTGACAATATCCTGTCTCCTTCACAACCATTCCGTCAATTTACGATTCCTTGTCATTGACAATATTCAGTCTCCTTCACAACATTCCGTCAATTTACGATTCCTTGTCATTGACAATATCCTGTCTCCTTCACAACATTCCGTCAATTTACGATTCCTTGTCATTGACAATATCCTGTCTCCTTCACAACATTCCGTCAATTTACGATTCCTTGTCATTGACAATATCCTGTCTCCTTCACAACATTCCGTCAATTTACGATTCCTTGTCATTGACAATATCCTGTCTCCTTCACAACATTCCGTCAATTTACGATTCCTTGTCATTGACAATATCCTGTCTCCTTCACAACATTCCGTCAATTTACGATTCCTTGTCATTGACAATATCCTGTCTCCTTCACAACATTCCGTCAATTTACGATTCCTTGTCATTGACAATATCCTGTCTCCTTCACAACATTCCGTCAATTTACGATTCCTTGTCATTGACAATATCCTGTCTCCTTCACAACATTCCGTCAATTTACGATTCCTTGTCATTGACAATATTCAGTCTCCTTCACAACATTCCGTCAATTTACGATTCCTTGTCATTGACAATATCCTGTCTCCTTCACAACATTCCGTCAATTTACGATTCCTTGTCATTGACAATATCCTGTCTCCTTCACAACATTCCGTCAATTTACGATTCCCTGTCATTGACAATATTCAGTCTCCTTCACAACAATTCCGTCAATTTAAGATTCCTTGTCATAGACAATATTCAGTCTCCTTCACAACAATTCCGTCAATTTACGATTCCTTGTCATTGACAATATCCTGTCTCCTTCACAACAATTCCGTCAATTTAAGATTCCTTGTCATAGACAATATTCAGTCTCCTTCACAACCATTCCGTCAATTTACGATTCCTTGTCATTGACAATATCCTGTCTCCTTCACAACAATTCCGTCAATTTAAGATTCCTTGTCATAGACAATATTCAGTCTCCTTCACAACAATTCCGTCAATTTACGATTCCTTGTCATTGACAATATCCTGTCTCCTTCACAACAATTCCGTCAATTTAAGATTCCTTGTCATAGACAATATTCAGTCTCCTTCACAACAATTCCGTCAATTTAAGATTCCTTGTCATAGACAATATCCTGTCTCCTTCACAACAATTCCGTCAATTTAAGATTCCTTGTCATAGACAATATTCAGTCTCCTTCACAACAATTCCGTCAATTTACGATTCTTTGTCATTGACAATATTCTGTCTCCTTCACAACAATTCCGTCAATTTAAGATTCCTTGTCATTGACAATATTTAGTCTCCTTCACAACAATTCCGTCAATTTACGATTCCTTGTCATTGACAATATTCTGTCTCCTTCACAACAATTCCGTCAATTTACGATTCCTTGTCATTGACAATATCCTGTCTCCTTCACAACATTCCGTCAATTTACGATTCCCTGTCATTGACAATATCCTGTCTCCTTCACAACAATTCCGTCAATTTACGATTCCTTGTCATAGACAATATCCTGTCTCCTTCACAACATTCCGTCAATTTACGATTCCTTGTCATTGACAATATCCTGTCTCCTTCACAACATTCCGTCAATTTACGATTCCCTGTCATTGACAATATTCAGTCTCCTTCACAACATTCCGTCAATTTACGATTCCCTGTCATTGACAATATCCTGTCTCCTTCACAACATTCCGTCAATTTACGATTCCTTGTCATTTACAATAACCAGTCCCCCTCACAACAATTCCGTCTATTCACCATATCATGTCATTGAATATGATTTAGAGGCCTTAACATTAAGTAACCGTGACGTAATACCAACAAATAAACCTTGCCTATATTGGACGTCATCGCATGAAAGTTGTCAAAATACATTTAGTGCATTCCAAGAGCCTCGTAGCTTAGAACCCTGTCAAGTTACGTGATAATTAACATTCTGTGAATCCTGACATAGCGTAGTGTGTATCGTTGACGACCAACACATTCCTGTCCGTGTTACGTTTAGCTTTGTAAATGGAGCGTATCTTTGCTAATGGCAAGTACCTATTCACCCAAACTCTCGTCCTACACAGCATAAATCAGTCCTAATCATCCCGCATCCTTCTCACCACACTCTTTATCTTATATCCAACTGTTCATACAACAAAATGTAGTTGCGAAAAGCTAAAACCGTCCCCGTAATAACGCTTGTTTTAACATGGACCCCGTGTGTTTGTTTATACTTGTAACGGTTGTTGGGATGGTGTATTACATACTATAGCAAGATATGTTGATGCTGTTCAATACGGTTACGTTTCAGGACAATGTCCTACCCCGACATAACTTCCCGGGCGGTATGATCCCAAACTTCTCTCTAGTTTTAGAACGCAATTAGATTTCTCTATTTTGTCTATTTGTTTTACCCCCTCCCTGTTTACCAGAAGGCGATATTTCTAACTCCTAATGGTCTGTAATGAAAGATAGAATCTGAAATAAGCGCGTGTACATTAGATTAGTATCGCATACGGTAGAAGTCGGGCGATGTGAGGGAGTCCGAGCTCTGTAGCACTGTCCAGATATATACCACATTTAACTGGAGCGATGTGAGCGAGTCCGTGCTCTGTAGCACTGTCCAGATATATACCACATTTAACTGCAGCGATATGAGCGAGTCCGTGCTCTGTAGCACTGTCCAGATATATACCACATTTAACTGCAGCGATATGAGCGAGTCCGTGCTCTGTAGCACTGTCCAGATATATACCACATTTAACTGCAGCGATATGAGCGAGTCCGTGCTCTGTAGCACTGTCCAGATATATACAACACTTAACTGGAGCGATGTGAGGGAGTCCGTGCTCTGTAGCACTGTCCAGATATATACCACACTTAACTGCAGCGATATGAGCGAGTCCGTGCTCTGTAGCACTGTCCAGATATATACCACACTTAACTGGAGCGATGTGAGCGAGTCCGTGCTCTGTAGCTCTGTCCAGATATATACCGAGCTTAATTCAGGGGATGTGAGCGAGTCCGTGCTCTGTAGCACTGTCCAGATATATACCAAATTGAGCTCATGCGATGTGAGAGTCCGTGCTCTGTAGCACTATCCAGATCTATACTAGATGGATATGAGCGAGTCCGTGCTCTGTAGCACTATCCAGATCTATACTAGAGGGATATGAGCGAGCCTTTGCTCTGTAGCTCTATCCAGATCTATACTAGAGGGATATGAGCGAGCCTTTGCTCCGTCCTTACTTCACTTAAAGACACTAATGATTACAGATAGTACCCGTATTGCTAATTACAGGTAGACTCAATCAGTCGCAGTTGTTACCTGTATTCAGGTACAGGTGTGTTACACCTGTTGGAAGGCGTTGATCGCTGTGATGTCAATCACACGATTCAGGGCGGCACCACCTACTGTATAACTTGGCTTTCTTTCCTTGTTTAATCTGTCTAATCTCAACAAATCCGGCCTAATCGATACCACAGCCACATTTATTTTCATTCATTTTTATTTCGTAAATATGTTTGAAGCAATTCTGAATCTCTGTTCACATTTTGTTTACACAACGACTTTTGTACGTTTTCGGAGATGTATATTAAAACAATCTGTACACTTTTCTAGTTTATCACGTCAATGTTCTTAACAGCAGGTTTCTGGTGGAGAAGACATATCATATTATTTGGGAGATTTATCTTAATGTGAGCATCGTTTATCTGTCGAGGAAAACTTACATTAATGTGGGCAAGATATTATGGGAAAAAATCTCATGTTGGAGACGTTTTTATTACGGGAAAAATGTATCAAATTGTGTGGAGGCTTTAGTGTATTGTATTGTGTGGATATTTATCATACAGGGAAGATATATATAGTTGGCAGGAAGATGTAAACGTAACATGAAACATAAAGGACATACATGAAATACATATCGATAAAAAACGTATAAGAAATAAATACTAGGAAAGCGAAAGTAACTTACCCTGCGCGACTGCCATCGTTACACGTGATGCTGGCGTTTTTGAGATGATGCCTCTGGAGTCTAGGGATTTCCTTTAGGCCACAGTTGTGAGATTTTTGGGCGATATCTTTGAGGGATTTCATTAAGGTATCTACACGGCCCAGTCTCTCGAGTTTGTTTACGTCCAGGGCCATATCATGGCGACTTAGCGACTTGTCCGGGCGACACATGACGTATTGTAGTAGGACTAGAATCCACACAGCAGACGAGGCAACCCTCGTCATAGTAAGTCAGGGGCCTACAAAACTTTACCAATGTTTAACGTGTCAAAATTCACATAACTCACAGACCGGTCGACAATGTCTTTAATTAGTATTATTTTAAATCCGACAATGATTGTGTCAAATCAAACAAGATCGACGAAATAAGTTTCCTGAGTGATCAATACAACTTTGATTTGTAAAATTGTTTATATACAGCTCACGTAGAATCCGGTATATTTTCCTAATGTCACGAGACCATTCCGCGTATTAATGTACACCAATTTGGGTTAAATCCTGAAATATGTTCCAGGTCGCATGCAGTCATTAACGTGCGGTTATCCATTGGACACTTCTTTCACACGCGTGCGAAATCGAATTATTTTTTCTTACATAAATCTTGGAAAGACTCTGCGATCGATTTTAGAACATTTACATCTGTTAAGATGAGTTTGAGCAGCTGATATGCATCCGTCATAGTACTTCTCCCTGGTACAGCACACACACATATCCTCGTAAGAAAATACAAAATTAAACTTGGTTTTCAAACTCGGCAAATATTTCAGACGTAAACATTTCAAAAGTAAACATATCACAGATCACTGCAAAGAAAATAAATGAGAAAAAGAAAATGAAAAAAACTCCGGCTGCAGTAGACGACGATAGTATGTGCTGGGCTACACACAGCGAGGAGACACCTGTACGTATCGCGGGTTTAAAGCCCTTTGAACACGGCCGCCCTGAGCCGAGACTAACGGCTTGACTCTCGCTCTCGCACCTACTACGGACTTCGACAACGGTCACTGGTGCTCCACGTGTGAGGGGGATCAGGCGCTCCACACCATCAAAGGAACCGCCAGCTCGCTCCACTGATCCCTCGACAACTACTCGCCTTACTCGGCCTAAATACTATTTTAATCTAATAATTTCATTTTTACCTATGTTAACTGTAGTGTATAAGTTTTTTATGTTGTACGTTTGATAAAAGAGTTCCGTATTTGTATTATAACATATATAATACCTGTGACTGGAGCAAACAAACGTCATTTTCGTAGATAGGTGTTGGAGACCCTCCCCTTTTTCGGAAGGTAACCTGTCAATCATTTTCCGGATACAATTGACCGTATTTGATTCGTTCGTTTAAGACTGAGCTCTATCCCAATTCTATTCGCACGATTAGCATTGATTAGAATGATAAATGATATGCATGTGATTGTTCTTTCGGTACAATCACTTTGATGGTAGGTGAGACGGTTCTGTGTGACTACGTAGTGTTGTACACGTGCTAAAACTCCGTTAGTAAATACAGTATACTTGACTAAGCCTATCACTTCCAGTGGGAAACTGACTATGAGATCTTTGACAGGCTTATAATTACAGAGTTAAATGATACATGAACGAAGGTCAAACACGCGGGGTCATAAGGTTTATTACAATTTGAATAGGAGTTTATTACAATTTGAATAAAATTTTAACCATTTGACGAAGAAGAAAACTAAAAAAAACGAGCAGTGACCCTAGAGTAAAATTGAATTAAACCGTATAACGATAGGTAGATTTCGCATACGCATACATCAGCAGACGACTTCGTGTATTCATAAATCGGCGGAAAGATATGATAATTTCTGTGATTGAGACCTGCCCCCAGCATGGCCCTCTGCCCTAGGTGATGATGCACCGGCCCCTCCGAGAGAGTACTCTGCACTGTTTCACAGCGGCCGTTTGATGTAGTCATGTTCCGATGTCTCTGAAACATCAAAGAGATCTTGCTTGGCACAACCAGTTGTTTTTCTGCATATGATCGCTGGCAGAAACCAAAACTAAACCCTTGTGATAACTCTCGGACCATACCACGTGCGCTTAAATGAATACAAGAGAGGTAATGCACCTTATGGTTTATCGTAATTTGCACGTGCCATTGATATATTGTCAATCGATCGATAGATTGTACATATCATTATTTTGGTATTACGAAGCATTGCAGGTATGTCTTCAACATTACGTTCGCATTGTCTGCCTTGCAGGCCTCAAGGAATAAAGCGATGTTTTCAGATCATTTAATTGCTGTCGCCTTGTGGAAAACAGTGAATTATTGAGTCCGCAGCACTCCCATCTCTAGTAAAAAAATATGGTATGTTTTCTTCATGAATTGAATCTTGTTATCGTCACAACTTTCGATTGGACATTCCATCGCTGATATCGAACATACATCAAACGACCAGCTGGCTAAACTGACCTTCATTGATGAAAACGTGGCAGAGAGTAGGATCGTCTGTAAACTGACATAGCCTATCGATTTATAGGTCTTATACATCATGGTAATCGAGAACGGTTGGACCAGCCTACAATATAAAACAGTTATTTGTTAGGATGGTCTGGTACGCTACAACCATGTCAAAGTACCACGAAATTCATCCGTCGCTGTTGTGGTAACGCAATATTTGATAAGTTGTTTGTGTTTTTGTGCTGGTGAAGCTGTTGGTTTTTGTCGTTGCCAAATGACGAACATTCTGTCAAGTTACTCCAACATAATTACATTTGGATTTTGAAAATTAAACTTCATTTTCCCGTTCTTAAACGCGATCTAGTTTAAGTGAGTCGTTCAGAAAAAAGGTACACAATATATGTACACTATATAGGTTGATCAAAGGAAACATGTTCATCCAAAAAAGTTTATCATTCAATATTTTGTTACAGGTAACATCCTCCGAGTCATCCGAGTTGACAACATAAAACACAACCCACAATCAGCGTAATACAGGGTACAATCAAACAAGTCTGATACACAGTACAGCCCAAAACAAGTCTGATACACAGTACAGCCCAAAACAAGTCTGGTACACAGTACAGCCCAAAACAAGTCTGATACACAGTACGGCCCAAAACAAGTCTGATACACAGTACAGCCCAAAACATGTCTGATACACAGTACAGCCCAAAACAAGTCTGATACACAGTACAGCCCAAAACAAGTCTGATACACAGTACAGCCCAAACAAGTCTGATACACAGTACAGCCCAAAACAAGTCTGATACACAGTACAGCCCAAAACAAGTCTGATACACAGTACAGCCCAAACAAGTCTGATACATAGTGCAGCCCAAAACAAGTCTGATACACAGTACAGCCCAAAACAAGTCTGATACACAGTACGGCCCAAAACAAGTCTGATACACAGTACGGCCCAAAACAAGTCTGATACACAGTACAGCCCAAAACAAGTCTGATACACAGTACGGCCCAAAACAAGTCTGATACACAGTACAGCCCAAAACAAGTCTGGTACACAGTACAGCCCAAAACAAGTCTGGTACACAGTACGGCCCAAAACAAGTCTGGTACACAGTACAGGTCTGGTACAAAACAAGTCTGATACACAGTACAGCCCAAAACAAGTCTGATACACAGTACGGCCCAAAACAAGTCTGGTACAGGTTACTGTCAAAACAAGTCTGGTACAGGTTACAGTCATAACAAGTCTGATACAGGTTACAGTCAAAACAAGTCTGGTACAGGTTACTGTCAAAACAAGTCTGGTACAGGTTACAGTCAGAACAAGTCTGATATAGGTTAAGGTCCAAAACAAGTCTGGTACAGATTACTGTCAAAAGAAGTCTGGTACAGGTTACAGTCAAAACAAGTCTGATACAGGTTACAGTCAGAGCAAGTCTGGTACAGGTTACAGTCAAAACAAGTCTGGTACAGGTTACAGTCAGAACAAGTCTGATACAGGTTACAGTCCAAACAGGTTACAGTCCAAAACAAGTCTGGTACAGGTTACAGTCAGAACAAGTCTGGTACATGTAACAGTCCAAAACAAGTATTACAGTCAAAACAAGTCTGGTACAGGTTACAGTCAAAACAAGTCTGATACACAATACGGCCCAAACAGGTCTGATACACAGTACAGCCCAAAACAAGTCTGATACACAATACGGCCCAAAACAAGTCTGATACACAATACGGCCCAAACAGGTCTGATACACAGTACAGCCCAAAACAAGTCTGATACACAATACGGCCCAAAACAAGTCTGATACACAGTACAGCCCAAAACAAGTCTGATACACAGTACAGCCCAAAACAAGTCTGATACACAATACGGCCCAAAACAAGTCTGATACACAGTACAGCCCAAAACAAGTCTGATACACAGTACAGCCCAAAACAAGTCTGATACACAGTACAGCCCAAAACAAGTCTGGTACACAGTACAGCCCAAAACAAGTCTGATACACAGTACAGCCCAAAACAAGTTTGATACACAGTACAGCCCAAAACAAGTCTGGTACACAGTACAGCCCAAATCAAGTCTGGTACACAGTACAGCACAAAACAAGTCTGATACACAGTACAGCCCAAAACAAGTCTGGTACAGGTTACTGTCAAAACAAGTCTGGTACAGGGTACTGTCAAAACAAGTCTGGTACAGGTTACAGTCATAACAAGTCTGATACAGGTTACAGTCAAAACAAGTCTGGTACAGGTTACAGTCAGAGCAAGTCTGGTACATGTAACAGTCCAAAACAAGTATTGTACAGGTTACAGTCAAAACAAGTCTGGTACAGGTTACTGTTGAAACAAGTCTTGTACAGATTACAGTCAAAACAAGTCTGGTACAGGTTACTGTCAAAACAAGTCTGGTACAGGTTACAGTCACAACAAGTCTGGTACAGGTTACAGGCAAAACGAGTCTGGTACAACAGTCAAAACAAGTCTGGTACAGGTTACAAGTCTGGTACAGGTTACAGTCAAAACAAGTATTGTACAGGTTACAGTCAAAACAAGTCTGGTACAGGTTACTGTCAAAACAAGTCTGGTACAGGTTACAGTCAAAACAAGTCTGGTACAGGTTACAGTCAAAACAAGTCTGGTACAGGTTACAGTCAGAACAAGTCTGATACAGGTTACAATCCAAAACAAGTATTGTACAGGTTACAGTCAAAACAAGTCTGGTACAGGTTACAGTCAGAGCAAGTCTGGTACATGTAACAGTCCAAAACAAGTATTGTACAGGTTACAG